TTTAAATCTGAAACCTTTTTTTTTGTTATGGCTGTGTTTGCAAATAATTCAAACATTAAGTTGTCAGCTCCAGATCCTGCAAAAATATCTGTGACTTCAGCTGTTGTCTGCACTAAATAATCACACACTTTGTCTTTTGTTTGTTGCCAGATTGGTAGTGCATTTGTAGTCTTACAATAATGTAAATTCACTGCACATTAATTCCACTGCTTAAAATATATCCTGAATGTGAGACAGAGAGACAGCGGCCACCAAGTGAGAGGGCAATACTGGTCACTCAGTCTCTTTTATATGGCCCAGGGTAGTTCATTTATGCCCTGTTGGAGCTTTTTTACCTTTGTAACTTACATTAATAACTCCTTGGCATTTGTATGCATGTGCATGTGTGCAGGATGGAGGGAAAGGGGCACAAAAAAAGAAACAAACTTTTTAAGCAAGTACAAAAGTATTTATCTTGCACAAAAATGTATTTATGCTACAGGAAAGTGTTGGTGTATAGTCAGAGGAAAGGGGGAGTCAGAGTCTAGGAAGTAAGGTGCTGAGCCCAGCAGAGATGGATTTCTTGCCTGAACTACTTTATACACATGTCGTGTAGTTTAATTACCCTGTGAAAAAACTCACTAGGACTTCAGTAACTCTAGAGGACCTTGACCTGGTCTTGATCTGGCTCTTTCCTCATAGCCCTGCTTTCTTTCTGTGCTCTGGACATGGTTCAGGGTGGAAGTGAGGGGTCCAAGGCAAAAGCAGCTGTTTATCTGTTGTACGGCAGAAACTCAACCCGATAAACAGCTACTTCACATAAACTGTGCCAGGAGCCAGAACATCTCAAGTTCCATGTTATGATTATTCTATTTTATAATCTATAAGAGTACACCTCACTATGAACACAGCCTGCAGTTACACACATCATGTTAATGTGATTTTTGACATCTGACCATAAAGATCGGATTTTATGTGATCATATTATCATCCATCCGCATTTGGCCTAAAATGGTTATACAGTAATACATCTCCCTAGGCTGTATTTCTTTTGAAATATGTCTGGATAAATTTAAAACCCTCACACCTCCTGGCCTCTTTATTTCTCATCATTACTCAAAATATGCATTGTGGTTAGATTGTAATCAGAGTGCAGTATAAACAGAATTGCTTTTTACATAGCAAGCCTGCCCACTTCCAGAGCTATTCCCAGAAAATCTTGAAGAGCACTGTGAGCACAGTCAGCTTCTGTCTGGGCTATCACTTAATATGTTCTGGTCTGGCATCACTGCATGATAACATTTCATTGCTGAGTATGGCCAAATGGGAGACCAGGACCAGCAGGGACAGTTACAGGACTGTAAAGGCATCACTACTTTTTTGATTATGTTATTATTATTATTATTATTATTATAGCTTTGAAGTTTTCCTAGAATGAACCTAGAAGACACTCGGTGATTAGCTGCATAGTTTCTCTAAGCCAGACACTAATTACATACAGATTGTGAGCACAAAGTTGAATGAAGCATGCAACACAAATTTTCCCAGTCTTCACTCATTGAAACCTGCTCTGCCTTTACTGGGACTTCTGTGGGACTTTACTGACCCTTCTCTTTGTGTATGTGTGTGTGTGAGAGAGAGAGAGTGAGAGACTGCTGTTCTGTTTGTGTGCATACACTGTATCTGAACACGTATTGTATGCATGTATAAATATGAATCCAACTGTGTGTGAGCAAGTGTGTGTGCACCCAGCAGGGCTATGGTTCTTATCGCTTCACACTAGCTGTCAGTTCCCTCACACACATCGCTGCAGCCGGTGACCTGACACGCAAGGCCAAGTTGGATACATGGAGAAGTTAACATACCTGCCTCTCCAAAGGGCAAACCTTTAACAGGGGCCAACCTGGGAAACATGAGGCTGCATTAGAACAGTCTGTACTATTTGGCTAAATGTGACGTGACAGTGTCCCTGTTCAATTTCCCAGATGACAGAAATGTGCCAGGTGACACAGTTTGCAGTGAAGAATGAAAAACGTCATATTAATGTAGATGGGGTTTGAACACCGTTGCGATACCATCGTTCATGTCACTATCTCTTCAAAGTTAAACTGCTTGCAAGGAACTGTTAGTGGTCTGCTTTAATGTAAGCTAACAAAATCTGAGACTCAGCCACATGCACAGTCACATTTATTCACAGAAGATTTCTTGGCTGAAAACCATTCTTTTTCACCTCATTCATGTTGAAACAGCCATACATGTTTATATTCAAAAACTGCCCAGTAAATATTACATGTTAGCAAGGGCATTTAGACATTGGTGCCTTGGTAGCAGTACAGTCAATGCTGCAAAAAAGATATCTTTTTTGCAGCATCTATCTTTTCCCTAGGGGATTCAGTCATTTAATCATGTAACTCACATGTCCAGTTTAGCATTTACTTTCTGCCCTCTGTGCTTCTATTTGAATATCACACTCACACACTTGAGTGTACAGTGCTGCATCAAAGCTTTAACCCTATCCATATATAAATTAGTTTGCTATGATGTAAATAATGAAATATAATGCAGTATAACAATAAAACCTCATCACAGGAAAACAAATACTCTATACTAAACACATCCCCATTTTCCTTTAGATTATTCATCTGACTTGATAATGTTCATGGATGCAGCTTAATGTACAGTATTTTATACACAATGCATAATTTACTTAGATTATTCATGTGACATGCACAAATGCACAGTATATCACATGATATTGTACAAAACATACACCAATCAACCATAACATTATGACCACTGGCAGGTGAATTGAGCAACACTGACCGTCTTATTACAATGGCACCTATCGGTGTGTGGGGTATATGAGGCAGCAAGTGAACATTCAGTCCTCGAAGTTAATGTGTTGGAAGCAGGAAAAGGTGTAAGGGCAAATGTAAAGATCTGAGTGACTTTGACAAGGGCCAAACTGTGATGGCTGACGACTGGGTCAGATCATCTCCCACACTACAGGTCTTGGTGGGTGTTATGGTCTGTGGTGGTTAGTACCTACCAACAGTGGTCTAACAGTGAACCAGCGACAGGGTCATGGACACTCAAGGCTCACTGATGATGATGTTGATCTACTGTAGATTAAACTTTTAATTTCAGGCATTCTTTTCAAACGATTTGTTTTATTTAAATCTTTGTTAAAATGTTGAAAATTAGAAATACAGACCAATGGTCTCAATGAAGAGAAACACTCAGCAGCTGTAGTTGTGTTATCACACCTAAAGTGGGGAGGCTGTTGAACTGGTATAAAACATTATCTCTAATTTGTCCTCATGACCACAGTCTTCACTCCTTTTACATGTGTTTTTCACTGAGTGGTTTACACATTTAATCTTCCTGACAGTAGAACTATGGAAGCAAATGGATTCAGTGAGCTGCAGAGTGACACGAGCACCATCCAACTCATGTTTACACAGTACTAGGAAGGTGGTCATAATGTTATGGCTAATCAGTAATAAGAGACAGAGACACACACACACAATCCAGTTTACCTTTGGTATTAATAAAGAACTCTATCCATCTATCCAGGTTCTTCCATGATAGGAACCTACCAAAACGGTATGTTTTTGACCAAATAGCTTAGTAGCTTAAAGAGATGTCCCATCTATCCCTGAGTATTTTATAAACAATGCAACATTTTAACAGTTTGTAATAGGAAAATCTGCTGTTTCATCACTTCCTCATTAGTCCTCTCTCCAGCTCCTGCTCGGCCTTTTCAGCTCACAGATTTGGACCAGCTGTGTTGGCTTTTTGAGGTTCATATGATTTTCATTGTTTCATATACACAGTGTGTCACAGGATGAAAGGATGTATCATCGAAGTATAATTGCACAAATCCATTCCTCCATTACAGTCATAACACATATGCTAACTTACAGTGTGCAGTCTGTTCATATCCACATGTGCACTGACACACACATAGCAACTGTGTGGTGCAACAGTGGCCTTGTCCAAACAGCACTAAGAGCAGAGGGAACAAGAATATGCTCTGAGGAGAGAACCAGGCATTCACCATTAATCATACACTGTGGCACACGCACTCATGTGCGCTCACACACACACTCTCACCCTAGAGGTGTACAACCCATTTTCAGATGCACAAACCCAGGTGCACAGTCGTAAAGTCAACAGAAACAGACACCCACCCACCTGTTTTTGAGGCCAAACACACTTACATATGCACATTGCTACACACACACTAACACAGGTTTATTTTCATTCCTTGTTGGGACTACATTGTCTTACATTCATTTCCTGGAGCCTAACCCTAACTAAGTTGTCATTCTAATATTTAGTGGCGACCAAGTACCCAAAGTATGGGTAATACTAGGCACACACACACGCACGTCGGTCAGGACACACCATTCAGGAAACATTAGCAGCATTAGCCAGGAATGCTAACTGAAACAAACAGCTCATGGTTTTTTCATTTCTGAGGTGGGAGCTGGCCATAATTGAGACTGTGTGTGTGTGTGTGTGTGTTTTATTTCTTGGGTGGGAGTTGGCCATAATTGAGACTGTGTGTGTGTGTGTGTGTGTGTGTGTGTGTACACTTGCAGAGATGCATAGTTTTTCATGCCAGAGATCTGGGAATCATTCTACCCTATTATTGTTCTGCTTTTTCTCTAGTTTTGCTTTCAAACCCAAAAAAGAGAGCAAATTGTTCACCATAAACCCACATTAGCACTGACAGAATCATCAAAGCAAACCTGATCTCACTTTTACTTCACAATTACATGCAAACACACACTTTGAGTTTCAGTCACAATGTATTTGGAAACACCATCTTTAATCTAAATTGCAGATTCAGGTTAGAGTTGCTGCCATGATGGATTCTCATATTGTTTGGCCTACAGTGATAGACATCCCATAGCTAGTAGGTCAAAGGTCAGCTAATGTAGTGTGCTGTGGTGATAATCAGAATCGATATGTCATCCTTCACATTCCAGATGCAATATCTGAGTCTCCCTTACCTGCACCAAAAGCAAAGAAGTAAGTCTGGTTGGGATTTCTGTGCAGCAAGGCAGACACACGGCGAGCCATTCGCTCATTGCGTTTATAGATGAGCTCCTGGCGGAAGTAGCTGTCAATCTGCTGGGCTGTCATTAGGTCATGAGCTGGCAGGGAGCTGTTGATGAAGTGAGGCAGCTGAGAGGAGAAGACAGAGAGAAAATTTTGAGTTTGAAAACCTTTATTGTAAAAATTCATAGCAGAAGAAAAAGTGTGTGAATCATTTAAGACATACATCAAACTGAAAAAGAAAAAAAGGGCATTAAAGAAAACTGAGATGGAAAGAAAGGAAAGGACTGAATGAGGGCACTGGTGACAAACTGGTAAATGTGTGTGCCCGAGTGAGACCTGGCACCCAGAAGTGTTTGTGATGTGACAGCTTGAAAGAAATTGACCATCTCAAGGCTTTGCTTCACAGGCTGGTTTTTAAATGAGCAAGTATCAATGCATGGGGCAGAGTGAGGGAGGAAAGAAATGTGTCAGCACTGTGTGTGTCTGTGTGATCAGACTGTCTTTGCACTTTTGTGTGCATGTCAGTGTATACTGATGTGTTGTATATATGAAGATAAGTGCATGTACAAATATATTCTTTAGTGCGAATGTGTGTCTAATTTCTGTGTGATTTCTCAAAACAGAGAGCTCATGTTGGCTCCGTTCCACCCTCAGCCTCATCAACAGATTTAACAGGATGTTAATCTGGGAAGATGAGCAAGCGTTGGCAGTGAGGTAGCGAAGGTTCAAGTCACAAACACACAGCTATCTGTCTCTGTCTAGCTCATTCACTTCCTCCCAGGGTGTCATACTAGGATTTTTCTGATGCTTTCTCTTGATATACAGTATGTGCAATAAAATATGAATTATGGTAAAATTGCTGAAATCCCTGAGTGCCTCCATTTGGGCTCTTTGTAATGCTCTGGCATGCTGTTTGCTGAGTAATAAAAAAGTCTTTTCTTAACTTAGGACTGTTGCTGCTACTGTGGGACTGAAATTCTACTCCATGTGTTGTAATTTCTACTTTTGTCATTATGAAATTAATTATGTCAGCTAGAATCACCTATGATACATTATCTAAAGTCCACTGGCCAGATTATCTGGCCTTATTATAATATGCTTGGCCCAGATATGTATCGGTTATGCTGATTTTCAGGGTGTAAAATTAGTGAGTAAAGATACAGTACTGTGCAAAAGTCTTAGAACACCATTAGATTTGTTGTTTTAGTAATGTTATGATGACTATATACGGTGCCTTGCAAAAGTATTCATACCCCTTGAACTTTTCCACACCTGTCATGTTACAACCACAAATTTAATTGGGATTTTATGTGATAGACCAACACGAAGTATCGCATAATTGTGAAGTAGAAGGAAAATGATACGTAGTGTTCGTGATTTTTTACAAATAAAAATCTGAAAAGTGGGGCATATGTATTCAGCCTCCCTCAGTCAATACTTTTACTGTTCACCACATATTCGTTGTTCATTTTCCTTCCACTTCACAGAGAAGAAGAGTTGAAGAGAGTGTCTGCAGCCTTCAGTGAAACATGGTGGAGGGTCTGTCATGGGTTCAAGACTTCAAGACCATCTCCCCCAAAAAATTCAAGCTGCGCTAATGGAGCCTAACCCTAACTAAGTTGTCATTCTAATATTTAGTGGCGACCAAGTACCCAAAGTATGGGTAATACTAGGCACACACACACGCACGTCGGTCAGGACACACCATTCAGGAAACATTAGCAGCATTAGCCAGGAATGCTAACTGAAACAAACAGCTCATGGTTTTTTCATTTCTGAGGTGGGAGCTGGCCATAATTGAGACTGTGTGTGTGTGTGTGTGTGTGTGTGTACACTTGCAGAGATGCATAGTTTTTCATGCCAGAGATCTGGGAATCATTCTACCCTATTATTGTTCTGCTTTTTCTCTAGTTTTGCTTTCAAACCCAAAAAAGAGAGCAAATTGTTCACCATAAACCCACATTAGCACTGACAGAATCATCAAAGCAAACCTGATCTCACTTTTACTTCACAATTACATGCAAACACACACTTTGAGTTTCAGTCACAATGTATTTGGAAACACCATCTTTAATCTAAATTGCAGATTCAGGTTAGAGTTGCTGCCATGATGGATTCTCATATTGTTTGGCCTACAGTGATAGACATCCCATAGCTAGTAGGTCAAAGGTCAGCTAATGTAGTGTGCTGTGGTGATAATCAGAATCGATATGTCATCCTTCACATTCCAGATGCAATATCTGAGTCTCCCTTACCTGCACCAAAAGCAAAGAAGTAAGTCTGGTTGGGATTTCTGTGCAGCAAGGCAGACACACGGCGAGCCATTCGCTCATTGCGGTTATAGATGAGCTCCTGGCGGAAGTAGCTGTCAATCTGCTGGGCTGTCATTAGGTCATGAGCTGGCAGGGAGCTGTTGATGAAGTGAGGCAGCTGAGAGGAGAAGACAGAGAGAAAATTTTGAGTTTGAAAACCTTTATTGTAAAAATTCATAGCAGAAGAAAAAGTGTGTGAATCATTTAAGACATACATCAAACTGAAAAAGAAAAAAAGGGCATTAAAGAAAACTGAGATGGAAAGAAAGGAAAGGACTGAATGAGGGCACTGGTGACAAACTGGTAAATGTGTGTGCCCGAGTGAGACCTGGCACCCAGAAGTGTTTGTGATGTGACAGCTTGAAAGAAATTGACCATCTCAAGGCTTTGCTTCACAGGCTGGTTTTTAAATGAGCAAGTATCAATGCATGGGGCAGAGTGAGGGAGGAAAGAAATGTGTCAGCACTGTGTGTGTCTGTGTGATCAGACTGTCTTTGCACTTTTGTGTGCATGTCAGTGTATACTGATGTGTTGTATATATGAAGATAAGTGCATGTACAAATATATTCTTTAGTGCGAATGTGTGTCTAATTTCTGTGTGATTTCTCAAAACAGAGAGCTCATGTTGGCTCCGTTCCACCCTCAGCCTCATCAACAGATTTAACAGGATGTTAATCTGGGAAGATGAGCAAGCGTTGGCAGTGAGGTAGCGAAGGTTCAAGTCACAAACACACAGCTATCTGTCTCTGTCTAGCTCATTCACTTCCTCCCAGGGTGTCATACTAGGATTTTTCTGATGCTTTCTCTTGATATACAGTATGTGCAATAAAATATGAATTATGGTAAAATTGGTGAAATCCCTGAATGCCTCCATTTGGGCTCTTTGTAATGCTGTGGCATGCTGTTTGCTGAGTAATAAAAAAGTCTTTTCTTAACTTAGGACTGTTGCTGCTACTGTGGGACTGAAATTCTACTCCATGTGTTGTAATTTCTACTTTTGTCATTATGAAATTAATTATGTCAGCTAGAATCACCTATGATACATTATCTAAAGTCCACTGGCCAGATTATCTGGCCTTATTATAATATGCTTGGCCCAGATATGTATCGGTTATGCTGATTTTCAGGGTGTAAAATTAGTGACAAATTATACAGTACTGTGCAAAAGTCTTAGAACACCATTAGATTTGTTGTTTTAGTAATGTTATGATGACTATATACGGTGCCTTGCAAAAGTATTCATACCCCTTGAACTTTTCCACACCTGTCATGTTACAACCACAAATTTAATTGGGATTTTATGTGATAGACCAACACGAAGTATCGCATAATTGTGAAGTAGAAGGAAAATGATACGTAGTGTTCGTGATTTTTTACAAATAAAAATCTGAAAAGTGGGGCATATGTATTCAGCCTCCCTCAGTCAATACTTTTACTGTTCACCACATATTCGTTGTTCATTTTCCTTCCACTTCACAGAGAAGAAGAGTTGAAGAGAGTGTCTGCAGCCTTCAGTGAAACATGGTGGAGGGTCTGTCATGGGTTCAAGACTTCAAGACCATCTCCCCCAAAAAATTCAAGCTGCGCTAAATGCAAAGGGTGGTCACACTAAATACTGACTTGGGATTGTAGAAGCCAGTTTGTTCTGAACATGTAGTGATTTTTAATATTGTGTGTATATTTCCTGTATTTTCTGGTTCTATTTGAATAAAGAGACCAAGGAGTAAATATAAATTATCGTCACAACCTTGCTAAAACAGCAAAACTAATGGTGGACTAAGACTTGCGCAGCACTATATTATTATTATAATAACAGATATCCAAGATAATCTGATTCTGTGGACTTTCTGTTTCTGTCCTGACTTCTGTCATCTTCCTTCACTGGTGCTGTTTCTTGTACAACCAGGAGTCCACCCAAATTGGAAAGAATGAAATGATGGAGGGATTTGAGCAACATTTGGGTTTTTGTGTTCCAGTAGGTCTCTACATGTGTGCAGATGTGTTTAATCTTGAATTGAATTTGAGTGTGACAAGAACACGCACATGTAAACATACAGTCCCTGACTAAAACAGTAGAATGGTAGTAAATGGTGCATGAATTAGTGTGTTCATGTACCTCATGTGCAGAAGGTGCATCCATCCAAAATTCCCTCCACTGCTCTTCCTACAGTTTGTTTCACACAATATTTGAAACATTCACGTGTGTATTTTTTCTTTGTTTTCTTTGTCATGCAGTAGGGGAACTCATTTTATACATTAAAGTCTGCTGTATTTACAAGTTTTGGGGAGTACCACTGCATATGTGAAAAAACATTTATGGTAGTTTGTTCTGGCTGAAGATTACAGGTTTGAAAGGGAGCATTAGAAAGATGTGTTCTCACCAGACCTCTGTGGCCTGCTCCTCTCTGCTTAAAGGCTAGCAGCTCAAGGCTGCATTAGCCACTACTAGCAACCGTCAGCAATAAAGCTGCATTATGCCAAATATGTTTTGGCAAGTTAGAATGTGTCCAGTAAAAAATACGGCTCTGCTGCATCAGTTTTCATATTTTCATTTAAACTGTCCATCGTGAGTCTAGTGATGTTATCACAATTTGTTAATGTATGTGGGATGATTACATTTTGTCCAAAGAGACACTGTAATTGTAGAGTAGGTTCACCTACACTTCAGCTACAGGATGGCCCTGGTGTTAACCATCCCTGTCACAAAAACTGCAGTTTTGCTTCAAATATATCACATATCTCGTTTTGTATTTAGGATGAGCTTCCACAGTTTACAAAAATAAAAACAAGTCTACAGATTCTTTTTGAATTCCA